ATTTTTTAGCTTCATTGGAATAGCCTGATTCTAAAAAAACAAGGCAATCTGAGTGTAAATCATTCCCAACTGATCGTTTGTTACTTTTCAGCAAACGCTATCAGAATTCCTACAGTTCATGCAGGTCTGGATTGCTGTTTTTCTATATTACGTTTTTTAAAGAGGCTCAGTGTTACCTTATGGTTTTCTCTATCTGTGCAGCACCAATTCGGGCAACACGAGCGATCTGTTCCCCATGTCCCCTCGCACCCTGGACTCGCTGATGCACAACGAAGTGCAGGAACCTAATCCAGGAGGAGGGCCTCTGGGTAAGTCTGGGATCAGCCTGCCATTAGCGGATGGGATAGAGATCTGGCTTGACTGGCCCTCGCCATTGAGGAACCACCTACCCAAATACAGGAGGACTGTTTGATCAGTCCTGGGAACTCCACTACAAATGCTTAGGGACTTTATTAAGAGATCATTGAGGTACCATGTACTTTGCTTAGGGAGTATTGATCGATCATATAATTACTCAGGGCTGACTGGCAGAGCAGAGTGCAGTCCCAAAATTCACGGTGTGTTACGAAGTGTTTAGATTACACGGCACCTTTCATTATAAAATAATCCAGTCCCAAATTTGTAAATATCGACTACGCCCCTTTATCAAGGATTACTTCTAAAACCTGAAATGCTGGATTCGTCCTACGGAGCACAAAAGGTAGCAGCTGCATGAACTCCTCACCAGCCAGTTTAGTCTGCAAGCGTCTCTACATCCTCAGTGGTCAAATCTGTGTGGTTCTCAAGGAGATCAGTTATCCTGGACTGTGGCATTATTAATGTCGGTACTGTTCTGTTGGGCTTGCGCTTCCATCCAGTGTAAGCAGAGCAATAGGTACAGTACAGTAGAAATCATGTGCAAAGCCTGTGTCCATTAAGGAAATGGGACTGCAGCTGCACAATAACCAGTAAGTGGAGGGGGGCAGGGCCAGATTTGACCAGGGCGGTTTTGAGAAAAGATAGGCAGAAGGTCAAGCGTTAAAAATTGAGCAATGGAATATACAAGGCAACAGAGGGCATCGTTCATTTTTTTGCCTCTTTTTTCCCCAGAATCTCTCACCCTGGATATGGAGTTCACTTCCGAGGCAGCCTCGCCCATGTGAAGCAAGGCCTTCCCACCAAGGCAGTCGCTGTATTGGTCGAAAGACAGAAGGCCGAAAGCTCTTACTCCATTTTAATAGCTGTGGCTCTTGCTGCACCTGCTCTTGCTGTAATACTGATAAGCGCTGTTAGGACAGGTTTTAGTTGGGGACATTTCTTTCTTCCAGACTACAGCTACATGTGTCAACCCCAATTTTTTTAAGAGCTAAACATCAGCGCTTTTTGAGTCTCGCTGTTCATGCCGTTCCACCTCCCTGCCCCCCAAAATCGAGAGCGAGCACTGACACTAACACATCGCGGACTGGTGGAGCCAAAATCCCGCAGTTTCACGAGAAATGGAGTAATAGCTATTTCCCATGTGTGTTTTTAAGCTGTCTTTATTCTTACTTCCTAAAAAATATCTTATGGTTAAAGAATTACATTTTGAAGCAGGCTGTGCATCGTGTCGGAAACTAAATTTCGTTTCACGTGATTAGCTTTTTATTAGGTTCGTTGTTGGCACGGTTTGCTGAGAAACCGACACTCCATGCTCGCGTTTGGGAGAGAGAGCTTGGAGTTTCAGGAGAATTTCCTTAAAGAGAGATATTAACAAGTTTGAACACCTTGTCTTTTAGTACCGGCTTGGACATTTGCCTGTATTTTTCAGTGTTTTTGTTTTTGATATATTTTCTCTTGTTGGCTTTCTCTGACTCAACAGCAAAGAATGTGTAGGTATTAAGTTTAGTACTGGTTATCCTCAAATTCCCTAAAGTAGCGGGTGTTTTCGGAAGTCCAATGTTTTTGTTAGAAAGAATCATGTCGGTATTATTTCAGCCTTTATAAATGGGGAAGGTCTCCAAACCTCCCACCTGACCCTTCATTCTCACTGTTCCCAAAGAGGCTAAATATTCCGATCAGCGTTCATTGGACCATGCTAGTATCGCCCTGCAAAGTGATTTTACAGTGCTTCAGCTCCAGTGTTAATATGATCAGTACTCTAAATGCAGATCTGAAAAGTCTGTCACGTATTACAAGGAATCAAGGTTGTTTTCCTTGTTTCTAATAAGCATTTTCCTTTCCTAATCAAGGATGCAGTCATAATTGTGGGGATTTGACCATTTTGGTTGATGTATGAATCTTTTAGGAAAGAACTGAACATAATTTTGTATTACTTGTCATGTGAGTAGAGTCCAAGCGATGCTCTGCACTGTGGCCGAAGAGATTTGATAGTTATTTGAATCAAATTAAAGGGTCTAATGGGGGCCCATTCTAGAAAGGGAGAAGTATGTAGTGCCTGCCTGAAGTGAATGGTCTTGGTACTGGTGGTGCCAGCTAATATGGATCCAGTTGGGTTGTGTTCCATCTCGCTGGAGCCTCAGTGTTGCCTGTGAATATATAGGTGACATACCTGGGACTTTCACTTGCGTGAGTTTGAGTTTGTTAATGCCCAGTACCCTGGTTTCTTTGATATAATGGCTGGGTGAGATCCCTGGGTCTATTTACTGCCAAATGAGCCCAAACGGCCTCCCCTCATTAATAACCTTTCGTATGGTCTTGCGTGCAGTCTTCCAGACGTCACTCAGGTGCTATGGAAAACTAAAGAAATGGGGAGGGGAAAAGTCTGGGCGCCATAAATGAGGAAACGTGGCTGCCCTCTCTGCACGTGCCCATGTTGCCCTCCGAACACGTCTGAGAGCCCTGCAAACAAGGCAAATGAAAACGCAATCAGGTTTACGGCAGCAGTGCGCTGATCAAGTCTCTGGAGTCCTGTGGAGTTCTCCTTGAGACGGGGCCTCTGCTACTCCCATCGCAAGAGACATGGAAATGAAACTCAAGTGGCAAAACCAAGGACTAACCTTCCATTTGCATGTGCATCTTTCTCAATCTATCTTTATTCTTTCTCCATAGGAAGAGAATGTCTGTATTGCTAGAGGGATTCGCGGATGGATTGCGTTGGCTGGGAAGGGGCCGGGGTCGGTTCGGTTGTTTCCCGAGAGGGTCCGTGGTGCTCTGTGCTTTCGTTCAGCCGCGTGCCGGTGGGGAAGTGCGCAGAGCCCAGGTCTGGACCGCGTTCCTCCACAGTGGCGGCGACTCGGAGGCTGTGGTTTGTCTGGGACATCGACGCGACTTTGATGGGTTTTGAATCGTGTACATTTTCACACTATAGGATGTTTCTTTATTCTGTAAATTATGCTGTAACTAATTGCTTGTAACTTTTTAATAAAAACAAATGGTTATACGCAAAGATGTTTCGTGGTTGGTGGTTGGCGTTTTTAAACAACCCCCCCCATTATTTAGCATTTCACCCTGATATGAAAAGCAAAGAATTTAATGTAATCTTGGGAAGACCCAGGTCTTGTGCCTCAGCATTCTTGGGATTTGTGTCACGCTCGTTGTTGATGAGCAAACACAGATCACGTTTTTTGTTCTCTTTCTTGGCTTCTCAGCACTGCCTTGTGGGGCCACTGACAACCTAGCCAGCGAGTGGAGCCGAGTTTCATCTCTTGGGGGACTTTCCCTCCCTCCCTAGCACGTCTGGTTTTTACTATTTCTTGAGTGTCAGTAGTTCCCCCCTCCCTGCAATTTGCAAACTTTCCTCATGAGCACGTGTCGACAACGGGTACTTTTTCGGTTTTGACTTTATTATATTGTCAAATATCATGTTTCTGCACCTCTGGAGGACGAATGAAAAGTGAGAATATTCCCCCCCCCCCCAGTGTTGGTTAAGTTCTTGACAAGATTCGTTATTGTGAAAAATGCCCCCCGCCCCCTTTTTGAAGACTTATGCTTAATGACCTCAATGGAGCATCCTGCCAGCTGTAACGTTTATCTCTGAACCGGCTCCCAGCCAGCCTCGAGGCCTATTAAACCCCAACTAAAGCCATAGTGAACTTGAAATTTGAGGAAAAATGTGTTTTATGGTCAAATAATTTGAGAACTGTTTTCATTTGTATGATTTTGGGGGATTGGGCCACAGACTGTTGGGCCAAGCTTTATTTTTCCACATCCCCAGACAATTCACTGCAAACCTGCCTGCTCAATTGCCACACTGTCGCATATCCACATAGTCTCTCTTTCTAGTGCCTTACTCAGCCTGGGAACCAGTTTTAAAAACTGTCAGACTTGTCAAACAAGCAAGGTTTGTTTTCATTTTTTAAATGTATCCTAGGCAAACCTCTTGAAAAACATGAAAGCAACTCAATGTTGTAACTCCGTGAAATGAAGGGCCGTTTTTGGCGGAGCACAGCGCTTGATTTGGGACGCAGCCGGTTAAATTGCAAGCTTGGTGCCAGCCTCTGCCGAGCCTTGAAGGAACCTGGCAGAACTGGCTTCTTGGAGAAGACAGGCTGTTGAACCACTAAGAAATAGAGGCAGTGATGTTATTATTTTGATATTATAGTGATGTTATTATTTTCTCTACTGCAAGAAACACCGCAGACCTTATTCCGCAGACCTTATTCTTATTATAATGACCCTAATCCCAGAACTCCTGCGCCTGCCAGCATCAGAATAATTCGTCTGGACTGGAAGAGAGGTAACTCAGAGGGCTGTGATCGAGCATGTACGCTCTTGTCAGTGACCCTCTGAGGAGTGTTTTTTTTATTTTTTTGTCTGCTGATTACTGTTGCTTTGGCAACATGTAATTTCATTGCATTTGATTAACATGATCAGCATTTCTAAATCGGCAAAATGAGGTCTTGCATAAAGTTCAGGTGTGCACATTTGAGTATTAATCTAGAAATAGTAATAGCAGGTGCACACTTTTTATACACGTGTCTAAAATAGCAAGTGCAGGCCAGGTATTTGTGTCTCCACAGATATTAAACCAGACCATGGGTTTATATTTTAATGAGGGGGATATTCCACCACCTAGTGAGATGTCATCTGCTAATTTGAAAGGGATAAATAAAAAGCTGTTGTTTTTTTTTTTTGTTGTTTACGGTCATTGGGCAATTCCTTTGGCGGAATATGAAAGTGTTTTTTTTTTTTTTACTGTGTTGGTTGTTCACACCAGCTGCACAAAGATGACATGAAGTTCAGTTAGGTCATGCTTCCTGTGCTCTCCATTCAGGTCGTGTAATCGCTGTGCATTCCTGCCGCGTATTCTTAGTAACAAGGAAGTTCTGAGTACAGTACTGTCATATGCAGACATGTGGGTGTATCAAATAGAAAAACACAGTTTACGATTAACAGTGATTCACTTATTACAGGAAGCATTTGCATTTCTTCCTTGGAATGATTCTAGGACCGGTGGGGAGTGTGGGTAGGATGAGTGTGTATTGAGGCACAAGGATTAAGTGAAGGACAGTGCTGAGCTGTATTTGGGTTAAAACTACCTCTGGTCTGTTTTCTCTCTGCAGAATATGCCCATCCCAAACCCCCATAAATGCTATCAGTTTGAATACTCGCTGCTTATTAAATTCTTTTGAGTAAAATACGGTTACAAAAATTTTTTTTCTTATTTCTCTGTTCAAAAAGTCTCCCTGTCCCAAGAGGGGGGCTACAGGTTTCTCGGATACTTATGGAAATGCCCTCCATCTGGTGGTAGGTAAGTGCCAAACCACGTGAGTTTACCCTCTACTTCATGTTCAGTGTGAACCCAGCTGAAGGCAGAGGCTCATAATTCAAGCCCCAGGGAGCTGCTGTCGCTGTAGGATTTCATTCCACCTTCTTAACTACCTAATTGATCTATTAGCTAAATTAGACCAATTTAAGAGCTACTGAATTGTGATTCACTGGGACTAGCTCTGATTTAAGCAGTATTCTTTGTGCACACGATTGACTTTAAGCATCGTTTCCAAATTCAGTCATTTTGAAAAGCTATGAATGAGACAAGATGTATTCTCTTTTTTTACAAAAAGGGATAGCTAAAAAAATAACATTTGCAATGTTTATTAAAGCTAGCGTATTTATTTTTAAAGAGTTTTGGGAGCTCATCGTATGGTGTACACTCCTGCCACACATTCAGGATGAAACGCATATTGCTGTAGTCTCTGTGCTCAAAGGTCATTGAGGCAGGAGGAAGCACTGAGGGGTCTCTGACTAACAGAAAAGCTTGTCAAAACGTTTATCTTTACCAGAATGCAGTACTCCAAATGCCCTGCTCGCTAGGGTATCTAACTCCACACTGGACAAACTCCAATATGTTCAGAATTCAGCAGCCAGAATCCTGACCAGGTTGCATGCAAGTGATCACATTACCCCTATCCTGGAGTCCTTGCACTGGCTTCCTAACAGGTTTTGTGTCAACTTCAAAATACTCATGCTCTCCTGTAAGGCTCTGTAAGGCTTGGTACCTCAGTACCTGTCTGACTTATCTTCCTCGCTCACTACCTTGTGACCTTCATTCTTTGTCTGTCTGGTCTTCCGTATGTCCCCGTAGTCTGCCTGCACTCTATGAGTGACAGGGCCTACTCCTGCTGTGCCCAAGAGTTCTGGAACTCTATCCCCAAGAATATCAGTGTCACCTGCCCTGAGCCCATTCAGATCTAGGCTCAAAACCTTTCTTTTCAGAATGGATACACTCAGAAACCACATAGGACATAGTCTGGCAAGCTTTCTTAGAAGGAAGAATGATGTTTTCAGAATATTTTGCAAATGTGCCTCAGACATCAAGCCTAGAAGAAATGTCACCCCTGAGTTCTATAATTTAGATTGAGAACCAAGTACAATGCCACCCACAGAATAGTTCATTGGCTTTACATAGTCGATGGTGTGTGCAGATAAGAGTGACATGTCCTGCCACAGTTTAAAAATTAAATCAAAAGCCATAAGACGTTTGCTAGCAACTTAAAACAAAGTGGTTTCTGTGCTGTGTGATTGTTTTGTGATTTTCACTATAACAGATTTATCCTGGCAGTAACACATGGTGTCTTTCCTGCTTTGAGATAGCATGAGAGTCTTGTGCCAGGTTGCGTCCTGAACTCTTTAAGCTATGTGCTAAGGTGGGTGAAATCCCTACACGGCATGGAGTAGTGGAGGGTTAGGAGCCCATGTTGTAGATGGGATGCTCCTACCATACAGAGATATTAGAGATTTTCCTTGTGTCACACTAGTAGAATGTGCAGATGTACAACTGTAAGTTGTTTTGGATAAACGCATCAGATCAATGAATGAAAAATGATGCAAGATGGCTAGAGATGAGGGGAAAGGGGTTATTAAAATCACATCAGATTTCTGAAATGCAGGAAGCAGAGCTGCTATTATCAGAGTTCACGGATATGATGAATATGATCTCCCAGTACCACTGTGCAGGGGAGGGTGTGGGAATAGTAAATGCCTTCACACTTGACTGAAACACATAATCAGAAGCCATTCAAGCCCTTAAAGGTGGGACGGGTGTCACTTTTAATTTTAATTTACAGAAGCCAGCTTTTAAAGAAAAAGCCTGCTGTTCTGAGAACACATGTGGATGGAATGGGAAGTATTTGGTGTGGAGGAGAGCAGCTCACAGGTACATCCATGTGTGCTCAGAATGTGACAAAGCCTGTGCCATCACTGCCTGTGTTCGTACAGTATATCTCCCATGCTCGAGGGCCCTGACACTACATCCCTCAACACATTTTCACCAACGGGCCAGAAGACACCAGACAGAAAAGGGGCTGTTCTGGTTGCTGCATCAAAAAATGATGCAGGCTGTGGTGGGAACCTAGTTTTTTGTTCTGGAGATAAAAGAGTCACAACAACATGATAAAATCGGCCATTTTTGGCCGCTTTTTCATTCGTGCTTGACCAACCACGAACGCCTGACCATCCACCAGGTGGGGCTGCACATTGGTGGTGGTGGAAGGGAGTCCCCATTACGTGTAAAGCTCTTTGAGTTCAGTGTCCAGAAAAGCACTATAGAAGTGTAAGCAATTATTATTATTATTATTATTATTATTAGCCCCAGAGCACCATTGCAACCAATGTGTGGTTCACACAGCGCAGTAACTAAGTGTGACCACCAGGTGTCGTCGTGCTCCAGCAATCTCCTCAGGGCCCAAAGTAACGTTCTCTTCACAGATGCAACTGTTACGAAAAGTTGTTGGCTTATGCAGCGCAAATTGAAATGTGAACCCATGTTTCTCATCCCCGCAAACGTGCAAGGGCTAATGACGAAGGATGGAGAATGCCCCAGACATCTGAGCGACTTGTAAACAGAACCTACTCTACAGCCGTTGGCAGGAATGGTAAGGATTAAGGGGGAGATTCCTCAGTGAAGGCCATGGGAGAAGATACTGCTGTGAGACGGAAAAGGGCAGT